ATTTTTTTAAAAAGCATTGTTATAAAGCTGGCTGCCTTTCGCAACATCAGTTATCAGGAGTTGAAGGTCTTCAAGAGGTGCATGCATGCACTCATTAAATGAATTATGTGCAAGTTCAAAATGCTGTTAAATTTTGTCAGCAGTGTCATGATTTTCCTTAAAAATAGCTCAGAAATGCCTTTTCTTTTACTAAAAAAAAGCTAAACAACTTTTCTGTCTGGATTTTCACTGTTTGAAATAAATGGCAACCCTAAGCAGAATACTGCATTTCATTGAGCTTTTGAATTGTGTACTTCTCATAACCCAAAACTATAAAACTTAAGGTAAAACTGCACTTGCCTAGGTGGACAATAAAGTGTATACGTAGGAAGAGAACATATGGTGAATAGCTTTTATGTGGACTTGACATGTGTTCCCATGGTGTGGTGCCCATGGACATGTCCCATGGATGATGGTCCGTGCTGTTTCTAAATTAGCAACGCTAGTTGTCAAGGACAACAAAGAATGGTTGCACAGAGGCAAAGCAGCTGCAGTGTGGCACCTGCAAGGTTTTTCTTTGCGGGATGGCACAAATGATGTGGCAGCTAGTGGAGAAGATTCTGCTGGCAAGGGATAAAGAAGTGCTAATCCAGCATGCTAAAGATTTGGAAGGCAAGCACTGGCATGTAGGAAATGGGCTTGTTTGATGAATTCAACTTTATTGGGTTAGGGATAGCAGTTGGGAGATAGCAGTAATGCTGATGATGGGATTTTAGCAGACTAGATGTAGAATCTGGCTGGCATGCTAGAACTGGATGGAGACACCTGGGTTTAGATCAGTAGTTCTAACTGGCCCTACTCCCTCACTGGAAACGAAAACAGCTTTTTTGAATAAAGGGATGGTATGGCCTCTGGGTAGGCAGTTTGCCTTTCTAATCCATTTTGGGTTTGATGCCTTGAGGGAGCATCAGGATTGGTATGTGAAATTGCAGCACAGGCAGTAAATGGTCCTGGCAGCAACTACCCATGCTCTGTATCTGCCTGGTTTCCTTATACAAGCACAAGAAGCAAGAACACAACACACACACTCCAGTTCTGTGGAATGATGAAACCTACACACAAGCAAATCCACTTTCTTTGCAGAATTCCAAGACGATACAGAGTAATAGAGATTTGCCTCTTCGAAGTAACTTCCTCCTTTGCAGTAGTAACTGCCTAAACTTACTACAACTTTGTAGTAGTCAAAAGGGAGCCATTTGCCCTGGCTACGAAATGCTCAGAAATCCTGGGGCATGGAACTGGTTGCAATTGGATGACATGCTAAACACACCATGTAACTGGTGGACGCATACCTATGAAATCTAAATAGAATGCTTGTTAGCAGAAATATGCCAGGCTGCAATGTGATTCAAAGTAGCTATCATTTGAGAGTGGGGAAGAAGACAAGTAGAAGTAGAGCACTGAACCAAATGCAACAGTGCAGTTTCTACTGAATGCAAATCGAGGCCGGTGATGGTGGTATCTGATTATGTATAATGCGCTGCAATTTAAGTTAATCTATTGATTGGCTAGAAAGAAGCTGCAAGCTGAGTTGTTCAAGCTCTTATTTAGGCAGATGGGTTGGGGCAAAGCACCCTGTTTTAGGCAGGTCACAGCCAATTTTGTAAAAGCTTTTGCACATGCTTCCAATAAGTATATAACCTACTTAACCACTCCATAGCACTTGCATGGCATTTACATATTTTACAAAAGATGTTGCCCAGGTCATTTGGAAGACACGTCACTAAACAACTGCATCCGTCCAGCACTTCCATTATCTAGCAGAAAGGGTAGCATAGCACTTTTCTGTAGCTGCATTTGCACACTGTGCTAAACCACCGGTCTACTCTGAATGTGCAGGTGGTTCTTGCTTCGCTCCTTGAAAAGGCAACAAGCCACAATTCTGGCATCCAAACCCAGGAGTCATGCTTTGTTTTGCTCTAAAGAAGCCACATTCTGAAGCCAAAGTTTGTTGGCTTTATCAATCGTGGATGGCCTGAGCAACGCAAGAAACTTAGCCCCGGGACCTTGGTTTGATGCTCAGGCTAAGGGAAGACTGAAGCTAGAGCCATCTTTATGGTTTACTACGATGTACAAACAGGGCCAATTTGATCCAGCTAGTTTCATTTAACTCTAGAAAGTGAACTTGTCAAAAGTGGCAGCACTGGGGGTACCCTTCGGAGTAGACATACCTCTGTTTGGCTTCATCCCTTGTTAGATGTTAATTATAGCCTGCATTGCAGTGTGACAAATAGATCCAGAGGAGCCAACACGCCTCATAGATTTGGCTGTGCCAAAGCACAGGTTTTAAGAAGGGCCTTTTGTTGCCCATCCACTTAAACAGCCAGAGTGGTTGGGGCAACTCAGTCAGATGGGTGGGGTATAAGCAATAAAATTATTATTAATAATTATTTTTATTTTTATTATAGATGGCATGTGTCTGCCCACACAGCTTTTTCTGTTTTAAGAATCATCACACCCATGTAGCTTTCAGCAGTGCTACTTTAGCATTAAAGGGCTGGTGTTTTTAAAGGGAAGCCAGTGCTTTTTAAAAACAAAACGAAAAGAACCCTAGCAGCACACTCAAACAGCTCCCGGCAGTTTTCTGTAAACAGAAAGGCGAATGACTCTGACCAGATAAACATTAGTCAGTCTCAGATGCAGAGCTTGCCAGTCTTGAGCAAGTAACCTAAAAAGGCAGTCAGTTTTGTGAATGCTTGATGTGTGTAGCCTTTAAACCAAAAGAGGTAAGGAACACTGGATGAAAAGGCAGCTGAATAAGCTGCTGTGTCTGGCCTACCAAGTGGGTAGGTGGCAACACAGTAGCTCTATATACGGACCCGTCTTCCCAAAAAGAAGGCAAGCAGCCCTCTTCTGTTAGCTTCTGCCAAATTGTTGCTAGATAAATGAGAGTTTGCCTGCCACACAGCTTTCTTCTTTTCATAATCCAAACTGAAGTGTGCCTGTTCATTTTTTAATTATTTTCTTGCTATTTTACAACCGCCGGGGGCGCATCACATTTGTCGGGGATAAAAGTAATAAAGTTACCAACTTCCTTAACATTAAAATTCACCAAATTCCTTCATATTAAAGCTCCCCTCCTTATACACAATTAAGATAGCTTCTTTCCCAATATCCCTGAAAGCGAAGTCTTCTCTTCCCTGCTGCATATTTGAAGGTTTGACTAAGCTGTACTCGTAGGCTAAATTCTGCTGCTAGGTTTATGAATCCTCTGTTAGTGTTCTAGCTGGAGTTTTTTAAAAAAAATAATAATGCATAATTTCAACATATAAATGCCTCCAAGACGAATTATATTTGCCTCCAGCCTTTGTCCAGATGATGGACACTTTGTATGGTTCAGCTACCATTTCAATACTTGCAAATACCTGGTTGTACTTGGCCTACATGTTTGGTGCAGGCATATTGAAGTTAGTGACTTAGTCTGGAAGATCCACTAACAGACTGGGGGTGTGGTTTATTTCCCCTTTGGTATATTTCAGGCATGTCCAACAGATAGATTGTGATCTACCAGTAGATCACTGGATGTCTGCCCCGCACCCCAAAAATATGGGGCTTTCCTCCTCAAGAAAAGCTCAACAACTTTGACCTGAACCCCCAAAAACAGGGCTTTCCCTTTGACCCCTGGTATATTTTAACCTACATTGATTCTCACAGTTAGCTTCACCCTTGCAGCTGCCCCTTGGATTGGCTTCATGTTGGCACGTTAAATCTCTAAAATAGGAGTGGAGAACCTTTGGCTCTCCAGGTGTTGCTGAACTACAACTCCCATCATCCCTGACCACTCTTGCTGGCGCTGATGGGAGTTGTAGTTCAGCAGTCTCTGGAGAGGCCAAAGGTGCTCAAAAATTACACAGCCTGGAAACCCAAGGCTCTGCTTAGGTTCATATGGCGGTTCTTTTGCTATAGAGCCCCTGGTAAGAGCAGCTCCAGAAATGAACGAAAGCATGACCAATATTTTTAGGCACCTTGTGCCAGTTAGACGTGTTTGGTGCTGTAGGCTCCTCCCTTGGCTCTTAATCTTGCCATTTTGCACGCCAGATGAAAGTTCTAGGATACTCTTGGCTTAAGAATAAAGGCTGTAGGAGGAGGCATGGTTTCCTGCATTGAACTTGTCCAGGCAGCTGCTGTTTTAGGGTGGGGATCAGCAACAGATCTCCAGCTCCCAACATGGAATGCCTGAACAGCAGTGCTCATATAAGCCCATTTGTGCTCCGAAGCCTATTTAAGGTCAAACGAGATGCGATGTCAGCAGATAGGTGATCTTCCAGTTTTTTTGTTTTTTTGTTCAATGGAATAGTCACTTGGGTAGGTGTAAACCCTTCCCATGTCACTCCCTAGTTTGAAATTGCTCTGCCAAAGCAACTCGCCCCTGGAAACATACAGGTACCTATGGCCTGGGTTCCCCTCTGAGTCACAGAGCAGCTTTGTGGAGGTGCTGGCACATTGGAAAAGGCTGAATGGCTAGTAGAAGCAGCATGGTTACCATCAGACCTGTGGCCTCTGCTGCTGCTGCTGCTGCTGCTGAACTACTTTTAAAACCAAAAGATATGATCGCTGATCTCCTGATCTAGTTGCATCCATGGAAACGAAAGGTTGTATCCTAAGTAGCATTAAGCAACTCATTTAATCAATACATGGATTTCTCCTTGCACAATGGATGCCTCCCTCCCCAGCGCCCCTTGAATGTGTTTTAGGAGTTCCCCACCACAACCACCCTTTGGAGCAGATTTGGGGAGTGTGTTGGGCCATGTGCAGAGGGCTAAGAGGAGGGAAGTTGCATGAGCAGAAATTCGTGTACTGATGGGATGTGTTGGATATGCCCCGAGTCTTGCATTTAGCCCTTATGAGTGTGTTAACATACTCACACAGGTCACCTATTTAAACACACCAGCTGATGTTTGCTTAGGCCATTTAAAGTTTCCTCCCGTACTTACAGCAATGTGCTTTTCCCCGTGTTGTAGGTGGTCCGTAGCCGTCTGGAGAAGCAGGGAATTGCAGTCCACAACGTGAGGTTGAATGGCTCGGCCGCAAGCCACGTGCTCCATCAGGACAGCGGTCTGGGGTATAAAGATCTGGACCTCATTTTTGGTGTAGACTTGAAGAGTGAGGACGTCTTCCAGCTAGTGAAAGATGTAGTGATGGACTGTCTGCTGGACTTCCTCCCGGAAGGGGTAAACAAAGATAAGATCACTCCCATGACGCTAAAGGAGGCCTATGTGCAGAAGCTAGTGAAAGTGTGCAATGAAACAGACCGCTGGAGCCTTATTTCACTTTCAAACAACAGCGGGAAGAACGTGGAGCTCAAATTCGTAGACACTCTCCGGCGGCAGTTTGAGTTCAGTGTAGATTCCTTCCAGATAATATTGGACTCACTGTTGCTTTTTGGAGAGTGCTCAGAGAACCCGATGTCTGCAAACTTCCACCCTACAGTCACCGGGGAGAGCATGTACGGGGACTTTGAGGAGGCAATGGACCACCTGAGGAACCGGATCATTGCCACCAGGAATCCGGAGGAGATCAGAGGTGGTGGGCTTCTGAAGTACTGCAACCTCCTGGTGAGGGGATTTAAGCCCAAATCAGAAGTAGACATGAAGGCGCTACAGAGATACATGTGCTCCAGGTTTTTTATAGACTTTCCTGACATTGGGGAGCAGCAGCGGAAGCTGGAGTCTTACCTTCAGAGCCACTTTGTGGGGATGGAGAGCAAGCGGTACGATTGCCTGATGACCCTTCACAGGGTGGTGAATGAGAGTACGGTGTGCCTGATGGGACACGAGAGGAGGCAGACGCTGAACCTCATTGCCATGTTGGCTGTGAGGGTCCTGGCTGAGCAGAACATAATCCCGACTGTCACAAATGTGACCTGCTATTATCAGCCAGCCCCTTACGCCAGCGAAGTAAACGTAAACTACTATGTAACCCACATGCAGCCTCTGCTGCCTTGCAGTCACTCCTATCCAACTTGGCTTCCCTGCAACTAACCACTGACATTGCTCCAGTCCTTGTTCTCTGGGAAGCAGAGGCTGTACAATTCAGAAGGAAAATGGGTCTCTTGCTCAAAGTGTCTTCCTCCTACATAGGAACAAAGTCTGCTGTATATTGTGGGCAATTGTGCAGTGTTATGAGTAGTTACCAGAGATGTTTACAGTAAGAAAATGATTGAGTTTATGTATGAGGTGGATGGATAGGATTAGGTTAAGAAAGCAGAGCTGCACTACCTGAGATGCAAGCTGATTTTCTTTCTTTCTTTAGTACACGAAGCATTAAGGGCTGTGCAGACTCTGTTTCTGAAGATATGCCAGAGTGGCCGATTCCTTTTAGGGGACCAAAGAAATCCTATTCAAGTGCCTGCAACCAAAAAAAGAAAAGAAAAAAGAAAAAAAAGCACTGTACCTTAATTTTTTTTGTAGGGGGTAGGACTCCCTGTTGGTAGTTCAGTTTGGGATGTCTGCGATGAATATTGGGGGAGTTTGGGGGTCGCTTGATCATTTCTGTTGAGGGAACCGTAGTGGGCCCGGGGGCTTGTAAAAGGAGCCAGTGTACCATGGCTTGCTGCCCCGATGGACCAGCTGTATTTATTATCAATCAGAGGAGAGCTGTGGGGTAGGGTGTGGGTGGGGCAAAAGAATGGGGTTGGATTCACAGCAGCAGATGTTTTGACAGATGATCGTGAACACTAAAAGAATGGGAACCTGCCCCCAAAGTATTACTCAATGTGCCGTGCCAAAAAACCCCTAAGATGTGACTTTCTGAAGGAAAGGATCTAGATTAGTGTTTGCTGTATCAGTACCATCAGGGGAACGAGCAGGTATGGGAGTTCGGCATGATATTAAAATGGCTGGCTAACTTTTATTAGGAGTTTAAATGAGCTGCACACAATGCGCCAACATGGGCAGATAAGTCTGTTCATTTTAGTAGTTGCAGAGCTGAGGTTCGATCTTGATCCAGATGCCCTGGTCCTCTTAATGAAGGGCAGCAGCTGCCAACATCATCCCTAGGCTCTGAAAGCTGCTCCTCTTCTTTCTGGAGGCCTGTGTGCAGCTGCTTGGCTCCATGTGGAAAAGATTCCCAAGTTTTGGTACTTTGGTGTTAACAGTGGAAAGGCGGTGGGAGAGAGCTGTTGGTAGCCAAATTTCTGAACCCAAGAGGCTCTTGGTGTCTTGTTCAAATGCAATAGGAAGAGTCAATACAGAGGCTGCCAGCTGTTGGACCACAACTCCCATTAGCTCCAGCTAGCATGGCTTATCGACTGAGTAGTGATGGGAGTTGGTCCAGAAACATCTAGAAAGCACCGTGTTGCCTACACCTGAAATACACAAGCTTTTGAAGTAGTTACTTGCACAGCACAATAGTTCTTTTTACTGACGTTTTTGGATTGCCTGCCAGTTCCTTGTGCAATGTGTCAGTTCAGGTTGTTGTTTTTATGCTTTTTTAGGAAGCTGAGGCAAAGATTGCTAGCTTTTTGGGTAGACCTGCTTTTTTTGAAAGGGCTACAAGAAGATGTTTCATGGTGTATCCTTGAAGGGCGACTGACTTACTAATCTGTTTCTTTGCAGTAAAGCTGTACCACATTTGGGCAGGCTGAAAAAAATTGAAATAAAATATCATACTTGGATTGTGTCTAGGTAAAATTCTGCCTCTTCCTGGGAAACATGAGCTAGTCTGGCAAGACCAAGCTGGGCTGTTTGTTTGTTTTAAAAGTCTGCTGCCATGTTGTTTGCTTCTGTCTTGTCACAACTCTGACTTGGCTGAGAAGGCACAATTGCTCATCTAAGAGGTCCAATACTATGTAAGTGAAGAGTCCCCCTGAAAAATAAACGGCTCTCAAAGACATTTCTTTTATGTACAGTAAATCCTTCCATGCTCCAAGATGTGTGTGGCTGCAGTGTCTAATGTAAGGGGCTTCACCAGGTTATTCCTCTTTCACTTGAGGAAAGGGCTGCTTCTTGATTATCTCCTTTTTGACAGCTTTCAGTACTTCACATTTAAAAGGGGAGAAGTGGTTTCGCACTAAAGGAGCACAGCTGATTAGCAGCACTTTTTGGCAGAATTGTGAATGAGAAGCCTAAGTGGTAGACCTGCCTCGTTTAAGCAAACGAACTTTCCCCTCCAATCCAAGGGCTTGCTGGAGAAATTTAAAGAAAATTGCACTTTTTGTGGTGTGCGAATGCGTGGTGAAATTCTCACAAATGGCTGCATCAAACAAATGCTGTGATTCTGCTGTTTCTTTGTATGCGTGGGGGTATCTGAAAGATTCGAAGCGTGTAACACTTTGGCACTTCCAGTCTTGCGTTTGAATGTGTTCTGCAGCTATCAAACCTGTCATGCAGTAGGCCTGACGTAACTTGCTAGATTCTTTAGAATCTGTCACCATAAATAAATACAATGTATTGAACTCTTTTGGGTTATTCTTCTTACTTGATTGCACGACGGTGCCATGACCACTTGCCACCCTTCTGCCCTTTGAGATGGCTCGTCTGAAACAAGGCGGAATTGGGCAAAAAGAGGTCGTGAGCATTCCTGTCCCCTGAGTTGGCTTTCAAATTGCTACCCCATCTTCTGCCGAATATCTTCCCAGGCATTTCAAAAACAATGGCTGCACCTCACCAGTTGTATTACACCGGGACTGATGGCAGCCACCTTAACGAAGAAGGCAGAGAGTAATTACAAGCACTCAGTGCACATATAGGCCCCCCTTTTAACTAAAGTTGGTAGAATGAATGTTTCTACCTGTGCTCCATTAACTGCCAGGCATACTGCTTATAATGAAGGCTTGTTTAAGTCTGTTCCTGGAGTGAGTGACTGGTCAGGGGTGGAAGCAGAGTTTAAAGGAGCTTTTCCCCCAGCCTGGGTCCCCATGAAGGCTGTCAGACTCCAACTCCCATCAGCCTCTGAGGATAGAAGTTCTGCATCATCTGGAGGGTAACAAGCTGGAGAAAGTGGACTTAATTGTGGCGGGAGCAATTCATTGAGAAACCTTGATCCACGAGATGAAGGCCAAATTAGCTTGAGGCTAAGCGTTGCATAAGCAAGCCATTAAACTCAGCTGGATTTGGGAACCTTTGGCCCACCTAGTGGTGTTGAACTACAGCTCCCAACAGCCCCAGCAAACATGGCTGATTGCCTGGGATTATGAGAGTTGTAGCTGAGCAATATCTGGTTCCCCACACCTGAGCTAGAAAACCCCCAACCTGGTGCCTGCTAGGTATTGTATTATCTCCTGACTTCTATCAGCCCTAGATAGCATGGTCAGGAGTAGATGAGCATTGTCAAATACTGTAAGGAACCAGGTTAGGGAAAGCTGAGCTGGATTACAAGGGAAATAATGTGTCTTACTTTGGCTGGAAATTGCAGTCTAATATCAGAATTAGAGTGAGGTGGCTACATGGGCTCAGGCAACGTCAAATTTAGCAACCTTCATGTACTGCCCTAGTTCTCTGTCAACAATCAATGTGCAGCTCACTGGGAGAATTCAAGGCAGAACTAAGACTTCCTTGTTTTAGGACACATTACCCTTATGCATAGTATGCCTTCGGTTTCTCCCTACCAAGTTTTTCTCTTTTGCTATTCCAGTTGCATGATCTTTCCTGTCCATTATTTTCTGCAGTTGGCAGTTGTCTCTTTTAATCTGACTAGAGCAGCACAAAACACCTGACCTGGTTGGCTTTTTCCATTGTTTAGCCTGATCTGTTTGAACAAAAGGATGCTGGTAGAAAACACTAGGTTTGATCTGAAAAGAGGCTTTCAAATTTTTTTAGTGTCTGATCTTTAAAAAAAAAATGAAATAAAAAATATATTTTCTCAGAAGGTGGTCTGTCATTTCTTGGATAAGCAGAATACAAAAATGCTAAAAGGCAATGGTTTATCAATGCCTATAAGCTCATTACTGGCCTGTCAGTTTGTCTTAACAATCAAAGCTGAGACACTTCACTAGATCCCCAGAAAATATAACGGCAACTTATTTCAGAGAAGCATTGCTGTATTGTTTTTAACACTTGATTGAAAGCTGCCCAGAGTGGCTGGGGAAACTCAGCCAGATGGGCGGGGTATAAATAATAAATTATTATTATTATTGTGTTGATAGCACTGTTTTTAATACTTACTTACTTGGAGAATGGGGAGTCAGGTGAGATTTTTTTTAGACTTTCTGCTTTCAGTAGAGAGCCAGTGTAAGGTAGCACTTAGCTTTGGAGTTAGACCTGGAACACCAGGGTTCGAATTCCCACTCGGCCATGGAGCTCTCTGGGAGACCTTCGGTCACTGCCTCAGCCTAACCTACCTCATAGGGTTATTGTGGGGATTAAATGAGGAGGGGGTGAACCATGTGTGCCACCTTAAGCTCCTTTGAGGGAAAAAGGTGGGATATAAATGCAGTGAATACATAAGTCTGTTGGGGTAAAGTGCATCTTAAATAGGACTTTTGGACAAACACAACTTTGGATTTATCCACACTTACCTTTTGTCCTCTTTCCAGACTCAGGTCCACGTTTCAAACTGTCAGAACAGCCTTTTTTGCCCTCATGAAAACCTGTTCTTTAGCTCTCAATCAGAGCAAACAGCAATTTGGGTTTTCTGTGGGTTGCCATTTGCTCCATCGCAACATTAAAGAGTGGGTTTTGTGGGGAAAGCTCTGGAGGGGGGAAACGGTGCTCATACGCAGAGCTTTAAAGCATGAACTCTGCATGGGAAGAGCAGAGGGAAAGTATGAATAAGCCCCATATTTTGCCCTTTGATATCTAGCGGCTCATTGCCTGCTGCTTTCCACTTGGAATTTCAGTACAGGGTTGGTATCACAATTGGCAATTCAGGGTTTCCCAGTATCTGCTTTCAGAAGTGGTTCATAAACAAATTTGTTGGGCCTGCCTGCTGTGAAGCTATCGTCATGTGAGCCAGGATGTGGGCTTGGAGCAGGGAATAGCTGTGTTTGAGCTGGTTTACTTCATTGAAGCTTACCTTTGGACTTCTCAGCTCAGCCTACCACACAGGGGTCTTGTGGGAGTAAGATGCAAGGGCAAACCTTCCTTGGAGATTGGATGGCCATCTGTCATGGATACTTTAGCTGGGATTCCTGCATTGCAGGGGGTTGGACTAGATGACCCTTGGGCCCCTTCCAGCTGTAAGATTCTATGATATGTGTCACTCTGAGCTCCCTGGAAGAAAGGAGCATTGTCATGCATTAACGTGCAATTGAATAATGGCGCTCTCTCTGCATTTTGCACAAACATACCTATTTCCCCCTCTCAAAAGTCTCTGGGCTTGGCTGTTTGTTTTTCTAGGAATGTGGAATCTCTGCATCTTCAGATGTAGTTAGACTACAGCTCCCTTGGCTTGGCCATGCTGCCTGGAGCTACCAGGGGTTGGGAAACCATGAAGATCTGGAGGACAAATGGACTGTCAGGAGAGAGATTAAACTACATTTATAATTTGTCTTTCTCATGAGGAGTTCTGCTGATCTTACATGACACAGAGATGGGATCTGTCCCTGCCAAAATATAAAGCCCTGGGGATCTAAAGCTCCCTGGCTCTACCCTTTCTTGATGGGCACAGTAACAGCATAGCAGAAAATCCCTCCAGGGTGATATATTAGGCAGGGACACTGAGGACATGGTTCATAGGGAAGTTGGTCTGCAGCACTATGACATAGACAGCGTGACTTGGCCTGTGGCAGCAAAAAGGCTAGTTCTGCCCATACCTCTTGGCATTTTTGGATCACGAGTTCTGGCCTGGGGAATGGCAGGTAGATTCCCAGTCTACCCCCACTACTCTGTAAGAACACTTAGCTCTTAATTGGAGGCTTGCTTTGACTCAGTATAAATCTATCTCAGTTTTATTTACACTGAGAATGGGGAACTTGTAGCCCATTAAATGCTCCTGGACTACAACTCACGCCATCTTTTACCAGTGGCCATGTTGGCTGAGGCTGATGGGAAATGGAGTTCAACATCTAGAAGACCACAAGCTCCCCATCCCTGGTTTACATTGTCTGGCTGTGGTCTCCAGCGTTTCAGGTGAGGAGTCTGTCTTTCTCTGCCCTACCCCCATGCTGAACGCAGAACATTTCACAAGGAAAGCAGGTGTTTGGCCACTGAGCCACAGCCCCTTCCTTCTGGGTCCCATGGGGACTGCATTTAGACTGAACAAGCTGGACCCATCCTGTAGTCACCCCATCCATCACTTTGTGTGCCAGTAGGGTGAGAGAAGCAGTGTGGACTGGGCTGCAAGGACCAGATATACTCCAAACTGCAAACAAGGGCTCTCGTAACATGCGCTCAAGTGCTAGACTAGGCCGCTGTAATGCACTCCCTTAAAGAGCTGAGGCGCTTCAGCCAGCACAGCATGTAGCTGGCAGGTTGCTCGAGGAGGCCTGGCATTCAGATCATGTTGCACCAGTTCTGTCCAGTGGTGTCGGTTGCCCAGTCATTTTCAGGCTCGATGCAAAGTGCAACTTAATAAAGTGAGCAAAGGTTTCGTACTGCGGTAGTTAACAACACATTTTTGTAGGGACCTAGTGTCCACAGAAGAAAAATAAATCATCATGCTCGGCATAGAATCATAGAATTTTTGAGTTGGAAGGGACCCTGAGGATCATAGTCAAATAATTAGGGTTGCCATATGTCCTCCTTTTCTGGGACACGTTCTCTTTTTCATGCGTCCTAGCGATCCAAAGTTAAAAGTACAAGTCGGCAAATGCATCCTCTTTTTTTGCTCTTCCAAATATGCCAACTCACAGGTGACACATTTTCAGTTTTATTTTCCTCATCCATTTAAAAACAGCTATCCATGTTTAATCAATACATGTCAAGACAACTTGTGCTATAGCAATTTAAGCAACAACATTGCCAAGGAATACAACCCACAAAGCTGCAGCAAATATAGCAGGCCATTCTGTGCTCACTGCATTGCCAGCTTTGCACTCTTGGTTCCAATAGGGACCCCACAGTTCTGTGCCAGGGCTGGCCAACCTGTGGCTCTCCTGTTGATGTTGGACTCCCAACTCCCATCCCCCCAGCTAGCACAGCCAATAGCCAGGGATGATGTGGGGGCTGTAGTTCAATGCTACCCGGAGAGAAACACTGGCCTCTGTTGACACTGCTCCTTCTCACAATGCAATCACGGCTGCTGCTGTCATGACGGGCGGAGAGGGCGGGGCACACGGGTGATCAGACAAGTCACATGTGATGCTCACTCGAAAGCCGTAGCTTGGGCCAGGTTTCCACTATCGATTCCGATGGGCCCCACGTGGGCGGAACGGCTGCGAGACAGATTGCAGCACCTCAAGCCGAGACCGGTGCAGTGTAGGTAGAGCTGGTGCTGACGCCGTTCCTTTGAACAATGCAACCCCGCCACTGCTGCCATCATGCCAGTCTGTTATGCAGACAGGAGTGGAGAGGGTGG